AGAGATAGCTTGTAGATATGGCCATTGTTGGTAGGAGGTGAAGCCGAAGCAAGGGTTAGCAAAGGTGGCTTCGGTCGGTTTCTAAGGCCGAGAAATTGAGGTGGTTAGCACCATAACCTCGTCTGCAACTTACGAGGGTTTCATGAAGGAGGTGGTGAACCCCAGTGGCAGACGGTGAGCTCCGAAAAAATGTCGCTGAAGAAAGAGCGTGTGAAGGTGTGATGATGATGCACGTGGAGGGTGAACCCTGACGGTTGAGGTGTGATGTTGTGGCGACGACGGCGAAGGAGGAGGTGTAATGATGGCGGCGGTGGCGATTTTGACGGCCAACATAGTGTGTGTATATACACATACACAGAGAGAAAGGGAAAGTGGGTTCTTTACACTGTTAGGATTGTTCGGGTTTGGGTTCCTGATGGGTTTGGATTTAATCGAAGGGTATTTAAGTAAATTAAAATGTCAATTTTATATCAAAGGGTAATAAAGTTAATTTACCATTGTCGAGGTCTCTTTGCCCATTTTATCAAACATGAAGGGATGTGATTGTCTAAAAATGGGTCAACTTGTATCTATCTATCCTTATGCCAAACCTCAAGGGGTGTCATTGTATTTTACCCAAAAAAAAAACAATAACTGATATTGGACTCCAATATTCTCCTTTGGCTTTCCAAATTTGACAAAATTACTAATATGTTGTACAAAACACTATATCTAACCCTAAATTAATATTTGGAAAGATTTAGATTAGACCAAAAAGATACGGACTTGCAGGAATGACACCGAAGCCGATAATTCTTTTTTGTGTTTCAACCATTAACCTTAGACAATCTTGTAATTTTAATAATAAAGGGGTTGGAGCGTGAGAGGAGAATATTGGAGCGCCAATATCAACTTCCTAAAAATAAAAATAAAAATAAAAATAACATAAAAAAATCTACAAGTATAATTTAACTCAGAGTACCTATTTGACTTGATAAACCCTCTCAAGATTCCAAATGTAATAAAAAAAATAAATGTAATAAATTTTTTATTTTATTTTATTGGTAAAGAACACATTTATTTATTTATTTATTTATTTTTGTCTCTATAAAAACTTGAACCATCAATCTTCTACTTTGAAAGATGAAAAAATATTATTAGACTACACCACCCTCGTTATTTTAAATAATTAATTACAATCGACTAATTTATTCATAAATTACTGAAAATAATTGCTATAGTAGAGGACTGCATATATAAATATCTCAAAGTATTTCCAGCAACAGATAATTTTTTTTCCCCTCAATTTTACTTTTTTTTTTTGGAATAATTCTATAAAAATGGAGTTTTGGAGGTCAAAGGACAAAAAAATGGAGTCAAAATTAAAATTTCTATATTAATGAAATTTTCTCGAAATCTGACGTGGACATGGAAATTTAATGTATATTATATATTTATTTCCAAAATACTTGTTATGAAATTCTGTTACTACCCCTCATATTTAGAGAAAGAAACCCATATATGGCAACCCTTCTTCTCAAACAAACAACCAACAAACCTGAGAAATTCATCCAAAACTTCTGGTCATTTGCACTTTTCTAATGATAAAATGGATTTGCTATTTTTATTTTTATTTTTAAAGTGGGTTTGCTAGTTAGGTGGGTAAAAAAAATAGATGGCCAACCAAAAAGAAAGAATTGTTTTTGCCATTATAAATGAACACATTCAGAAGGGGCTGGTTTAGGGGTGTGAGAAAGATTGATGATGAAATAGGATTTTATTTTATTTTATTTATTTATTTTTTTTTTGTTAGTGGGCTTGCTCTGGAACAATTGAGACTTCTAGTCTTGCGGGCCTTTGGTCACCATTAAAAATTATTCCACTACATGGAGAGAGAGCCTTTCATCCAAAGAAAATAAAAAAGCTCGAGGCATTCAAGCACAGGCGATGCAGATGCAGAGATCCATAACAGTAATAGAAGGGTATTTTAGAAATATAAAGATGATCTAAATTAAATTTCCATGTTCACCTCAGACTTTGAGAAAATTCCATTTATTTGGAAAACTTAATTTTGACTCCATTATTTTGTCCACCCACAAAACTCCATTTTTATGGAATTATCCCTTTTTTTTTTTTTTTGGGTAAAAAAACTTCAATATAACTAAAAGACCGATCTTGTAACCACGAACAATCACAAAATTTAAGAAAAATACCATTTACAACTTTTAATGAAAAGAAATCAACACAATTTTCTTATTTTAATGAAAAAAAACATACACTTTTTTATTTAAAAAATGTGAAAAACGTATAAAAAATAAAAATTACTTGCTCTTTTATAAGTAGTATAGATATAAATTATGGAATTTTTTTTTTTAATAATCCAAAAATTATGGAATTTTTTTTTTTTTTAATAATCCATATTAGCTTATATTGCTTCAAGTAAATTTTTCATGACATAAAAGGTCACTAATTTTTTTAACAAGCAATAATGATACTCAACCAAAGAAAAATACCTATACAAAACTTATTATTCAAATTTCGATTTGTTTTGCAAATAAATTATCAGATTTAATTTAAATCATTAACATATTATCAAATTAATGGTCCAATTCATATCTCTAACAGATCGGATTGGAGGCTCCGTTTGTTTGGATATAAAATATTTTTAAAAAAATATATTTTTATTTTTTAGTGTTTGATTGTAGTAAAATATTTAAGAAGTAGAAAATATTAAAATTTAGCAAAAATAATTTATCCATCAATTTTCAACAAGTTATTCAACATATCTCAATTTTGCTGGATCGACTCTACCTCAACATCAACATTCAAACATCAAAAATTTTTAAAAATATATTTTATTTTAAAAAAATAATATTTTAGGTAGAAACAAACATATGCTTAATATACCGACAAGATGAGATTTGAACCATATGCTTAATATACGGCAAGATGAGATTTGAAACAAATTGGCCCAGTCTTCTTCTACTTCTTCCTCATTTTATTTATTTATTTATTTATTATTATTATTATTTTCTCTCTAGGAAGTTAAGGAGTAAAATATTGATGAAACAATAACTGTACATAGGCCGAAGCGGGAACAAAAACATAGGACAACACAACCCAGCGTAAGCAAGGCCTAACCCATCTTACAGTTGAAAGAAGACAATTATATTCTAAATACCCTAGAATGTTGTTGTCTAAGAGAACCAAACAGCCGGTGCAATGAAAACAGAGGCAGAGCCTCGCAAGATCAGTCAGGGTCAGGCGGTGGCCGGATGAAGGACGGGGGAAGCTCCCAGTCTAGAGCAAGCCTTCTCGCTAGAGCAGCGTCCTTTACCGGCATCGAGATCAACCTTTGCTTAATCATATCCATGGTGTTCCTTAGTACCTTTGATTGACAATAGTGGAGAGAACAAGTAAGTTGGTCGAAATCTGCAAACTCCTCCTTCGCCAGCGAGCTGACGCCCATGCAACGAAGCCATTCCAAGAGAGGTGCGAAACTCGGATTCGGTATTTGATTTGCAAGAACCTCCGAATTGGATTCGTACCCAAGGAATGGCTTCATTCCTTGGGTAAAAGTTAAAATATTAAAAGGAATGGCATTTGATTTGCAAGAACCTCCAAATTGGCCCAGTCGTACCCAAGGAATGTTTGAGCAACTGAATGTGAGTCATTTGTCAGGGTAAAAGTTAAAACATTGAAAGAAACAAAAAAAAAACATTGAACAACCGGGGCCAAGCTGTTAGATATGTATCACACCATATTGTGTCCATGGGCTGTGCCCGAATCCGGTCAGATTTTTGTTTGGTTCCTGAGAAAAGCTTTCCAAAAGTTAAGCGTGCCATAACATGTCACCCGGTATTGACTTACTCTGCCAATCGATCATAATCAGTGGCGTAGTCAGAGAGGGACAACTGCATTGAACTTTCATATATAAAGATTTTTATATTTGTATCCTCGCCTCCTTTAAAATTTGACAGGGCATATATGTGTATATAACCAAAAGTTCATTCATAGTAGAAATATAAGGGCATATACGTTTATATAACCAAAAGTTCATTCACAGTAGAAATATAATCGTGACACAATTATATATATATATATATATATATATATATATATATATATAATATATCTAATAATTTATATTTTTTCAAAAAATATGATTTTTTTTTTTACTTTCCCAAAATATTATATTATTTATCACTTTCTAAAAAAAAATCATGAAAATATTCTACCACACTTTGACTTTACCACAAACAAATGAATTATTTCCAGCACTTCTTCATCTTTAACATTTTTCACAACCCAAACAAAGTAATCGGAGCAACTATTTATCAGTAAACAGAGACTCAATCAGTCGTACTGCAATGTGACGGATAGGTAATCTGAAATTTTTTTACCATATAAATTTATTATTATTTGATATTATAATTTTAATTAAAAAAATTATTAATTATTACTATTAAAATTATTTTAGAACTTGTTCTTTCAAATTTTAGTTTGTATTTTTATTTTTTTTGCGTATGTAATATAATAGAAAAGTTAGGTAACTGTATTATTATTTTTTTCATATCTTATTATTGATTTATTGAATATGGTTTTTTTTTTTTGTATATTTAATTGAATGAACTCAATTTTAAAACATCAATAAATAATTTGAAAAATTGTTTTGAATGCACTGAATAAGAATATTATGAATTAATGTTTTAATTTATATATATATTATTTTGGTTCAAATTCTATATATATATATATATATATATATATATTACTATTAAATATTACCCTCACAAAAGAAAATTTCTGCACTGATCATAATAATATATATATTTGCCCATCATATAATCTTTACCTCATTCTTTTAATTTTTTTCATGGCTAATCTTTACTTCATTCGTCTTATGAATATAGATATACTCCGTATATACATATTCACAATTTCACAAATATATATAATATATATATTGAGAATTTGACACTTGCTTATGAATCTTTAAGATGACCTTCATTAATGAGGAGGAATGTGCGCCACAATCAGTGGCTGATAACTTAAGATAAAGTACTTTTTCCCTTTCTAAGGACCAAATTCGTAACACTCTCTCATGGACTCTGGAGAGACGGACGAGCCGGTGACGCCGGCCGGCCGGCTGTTTCTCCGGCCAGAGATGAACCAAATAATCACCTGCGTCGCAGGCCAAAAAAACCCAATCGACGTGGACGCCGTCAAGGCCGAGATCACCAAATCCGTCATGATCACACTCCCCAGATTCACCAGCTTGATGGTCAGAGACCGTAACGGTCTCGAACACTGGAGAAAAACCCAGGTCGACGTAGACCGCCACGTCATCGTCCGACACGAACCCGTCGTCGACGGAGTCAGCGACGAGGACGCTGTCAACGACTACCTCGCTGATCTGGCGGTCTCGACACCGCTCAGTTTCGACAAGCCGCTGTGGGAAATACACCTCTTGATGGCCCACAAGGGCACCATCCTTCGGGTCCATCACGCGTTGGGCGATGGGATTTCGCTGATGTCTTTGTTTCTAGCGTGCTGCAGGAGGGCCGATGATCCTGATCAGCCACTCACTATCAAACCCTTGGGGACTTCTTCTTCGAGCACGAATCACCATCGTAGAGAGTGGGTGGTGTTGAGAGTCTTGAGATTTGTGCAATTGGCGTGGTTTTCGTTAGTGTTTATCTTGGAGTTCGTGTTCAGGAGTTTGTGGGTCAGAGACAAGAGGACCGCCGTGAGCGGCGGTGATGGGGTCGAGCTGTGGCCGAGGAAATTGGCCACCGCTAGGTTTCAGCTGGACGACATGAAGACGGTCAAAAAGGCTATTGCCGATGCGGTAGGGGTTTATTTTATGATATCCTACTCTCTCTCTCTCTCTCTCTCTCTTAATTTTTTATGCCACTTTCTCTTTTTAGTACTATTTTTCATTTAATTTTATCTGTTACCAAAATGGGCACAAGCTTTGAAGCATAAAGTGAATTTAGCCTGAGCTTTCCCCAAAAAAAAAAAAAAAAAAACTCAATAGTCCCGCCCAGTTGAGTGTCAGCGCATTTTTGCTATGGCTTCAAATTTTGCATTCCCTATAGATTGCCTAAACAATGGGACCTCTCATCTGGTTGAGTTGTAAGTAACACTTACCTTGGATGTCATAAAATTTGACACTCTTATCTATTGATATTATATTCAAAATTTAATTAAAATCCGAGAACACCCTTGGAAAACTTGAAAATGTTTTTTTTGTTCATATGTTGAATTAATAAAATTTGACACTCTTATCTATTGATATTATATTCAAAATTTAATTAAAATCCGAGAACACCCTTGGAAAACTTGAAAATGTTTTTTTGTTCATATGTTGAATTAATAAAAATACAATGGGTATAATATTCATTTAACACATCTGGGTCAAAGTTACCACAGCAGGGGATCAGTGTTAGAAGTCCTGTTATTTAGGCAATCTACATAGAAAAGGCAAGTGTAATTATCTCTTTTTAAAATAATATTACAAAGACACCTGAATATGAATTTTGATTCGACTGGACTATAGTTACCCAATGGCCGAGCACCATCTAATAAATTTTTAGTTATAAAAGTAGCCGGCCCCTGCAACTTTTATACAAATTTGTGCGTCTGGGTTGGATCCAGGCATAATTACATCAATTACTTTAGTTACTGGAGTTAGGTTACACTAGACATATATGTCTCTGCCTTTTGAACTAGATCAAGAGTGGATGAGAACACAATCTTGAATTCTTGATGTACTTTTCAAGATGTGACTTTTAATTTTGTGCTTCAAGGATTAAGCTTTTTCCAAACTCCCTCAGGAGCGTAGCCTTTACTTGCTTGGTTCGCTAACATAAAATGATCTTACCAAAAACAATAATAGCATAAATGACTAAATTTTAGTTTTGTTATAGTAACGTAAATGATCTTACCAAAAAACGGTTGTAGCATAAATGATTCAATTTTAGTTTTGTGACAGCAGCATAAATGATCTTACCAAAAACAAAAAAAAAAAAATGGTAGCATATATGATTAAAGGAAAATGCTTAAAAATCCAATTTCCTCGAAGCCCCATCCCACGGAATTTGGGTGCTCATAATTAAAATGCCTACCTGGCTAGCATGTAACACATAGAATTCTGTGAATGAACCAGGACCAAATACTACTTGATAACCGATAGCAAAGTAGTGCCATGAGGAAATGGTGAAAAAAGAAATCCGATCTACCTTTGTCTTGGTGACTTCTCAACTCTGAAGTCCTATATCAAGGTTTCGAGACTAATTAAGAGAAAGGGGAAAAAAAATGATAAAATGATTTAAAAAAAAAAACTCTCATCAAACATGAAATTTTATACTTTCAAGCACTGGGAGAATCTACACCCTTACCTTTTGTCTTCGAAGAATGGCAGTGACTCGTAGGTACTGAATCTGGAGCTGTTGCAAAAATGAGCTCTTAAGCAATTTTAGGGAACAGAAGTGGCATAGCAAATAGGAGTATAACAACCTATCTATTTATATGGCAGTTGGTTAACAGAATATAGCTTTTATCAAAAACTAAATTTTGAATTAACTTTCTTCAAGCACGCGCTGGTGTTTGTCATGTATGTTTAAAAATTAACATGCAAGTTATGGATTTCGAAACTCATTACTAATCTGATGTTTGGCAATGCAGACCATTAACGATGTCCTATTCGGGATAGTATCATCTGGCCTATCAAAATACCTGGATATTCGATCGCCGAAAGGTGAGTCTTATTACATATACCAGTTAGCATGTTACATATAATCACCTTAACTAAATTTTGTTTAACCATCTCCTCTAGGTCTCAAGGAGGGGCTTCAAATAACGGGTCTTGCTATGGTTAATTTAAGATCACAACCAGGATTGCAGGTCAATATTTCCCTTAATTTCTCTCTCCTCATTACACCGTAGAAAAGTGCATTTGCTGGATTTTAAGTTTATTGTTTGAATTGAATTGACTGGGTACCAATCAGGATGTTTCGGCTTTGATGGCAAGAAATTCAGGATCACGGTGGGGCAACCAATTCGGTATGCTTCTCCTTCCTGTTTATTATCATAAAGACGGTGCTGATCCTCTGCAGTGTGTGAAGAGAGCAAAGAAAATGCTTGACATGAAGAAACAATCATTAGAGGCTCATTTCTCATACAATGTGGGAAACTTTGTCATGTCCTTTTTGGGAGCAAAGGTAGAGTTCAATATGGGTGATACTGAACTTGAAAGAATAACCAACTTATGTTATTGTTATTGGATTCTAGTCTTTGTTGATGATGCTATTGTTATTGTTTTGCAGTATGCAAGCTTGCTTAATTACAGAATTGTGTGTAATACAACGTTTACGATCTCAAATGTGGTTGGTCCACAAGAGGAGATAGCACTTGTTGGCAACCCTATAAATTACATAAGAGCAAATACATGCAGCCTACCCCATGTACATCTTCTAAACTCGCTTTAGTTTATTACCCTTGGAAATTGGTATATAGCGTCGTATTGATTGAATGATAGGAATTGGTTAGTTGTTGATTGTTGATAGTGGAATTGCAGGCAATCACAATGCACATGACGAGCTATGCGGGAAGAGCTGACATGCAAATCTTGGTGGCCAAAGAAATTATCCCTGACCCAGAGGTTTTAGCCAAGTGCTTCGAAGATGCCTTGTTCGAATTGAAGGAAGCCGCTGAGGCTGCCTCAAAAACCTGAACAAAGTTTCCCCTCCATACACTATGATTTCGTCAATTGAAAGATTCACACTACAGGTAATTATTTGTAAAATTAAAATCCCACATATATACTTGCCCATTGTACGCCCCAAATTTGTAACAAAAATCAAGCAAACGAAAGTAAAACCTCTCTGTAATTGCTCCAACATAATAAATTTGTGCATCATTTACAGCCAATGCGATAATGAACTTGTGTGATTACGGAGATACTCTTTCGAGTTATGGACAAAAATTTTGTAAACTGTTTTCTGATCTTCTTCTTGCTCCTTTTTTTTTTTTTTTTTTTTTTTTGGTGTGCATACATTGTTTAATTGTTTGAGTAATCTCAAATTGAGATTAAACATCATTAGTACTTTCTTTTTATTTCCCCAAAACTCTGTGCCACAAGAAAAAAGGAAAATGATTTACCGTATCTTCCAATGAAATAGTAAATCAGGTATGTTCTTTTTGTGTGGAATCTCAAAAAGCGGTACACTCCTTCCATAGGCAACTTTTTAGATTATCTTCAAGGTAAGTATGCTCTTCTCTGAAAGGCCATACACTTTTTAGGTCAGTTGACACAGAAGGGAGAGTTGGCCGGGTTGCGTGGGACTCAGTCAGTAGAGGGGAGCTTGCCTGTACTCTCCTCTTTTCTAAAGTTGAATTTAAGACAGCTTACATATGTGAGAGCATAGGAGCATTTACATGATGTGCATTGATAAGCCTATATTATGATATTGTGGCCTGAATTTTGTTTCGGCCAGGGTTGCATTGTGACTACGGATTCAACCCTGGGCTTTGTGTAAATTTTTTTTTTGGACCTGTTTTCTCTTTTGGAATGTGAACCCGGTTCTAGAACTCCTTGATCCCAGAGTTTTAGGGTTTGGGACCTTGGGTGGTTGGAGATTGTTCGAGAGGGAGAGTTTGTGGCTGGAACTTGTAATCTCATATTATTAGCATAGTGAAATTTTTCATTGAATCTTCACCTTGAATGTAAACTTTATTTTTCTGTCGATTTTTTTAGTGTGTTTTTGGTTTGCCATATTTGTCCCACCATATATGGTCCCTTTTTTGTACTGCCTCTAGATTCATTAAAATCAGCCGTGTCAAAAGACTTTGAACTTCATTCTATTAATTTTTTATTAACTCGTGAATTCTGAACACAAGGACCATATAGGGTGGGACAAATATGGCAAACCAAAAACACACTACAAAAATCAGAAAGAAAAATAAAGTCTACATTCAAGGTGAAGATTCAACGAAAAATTTCACTATGTTAATAATATGAGATTACAAGTTCCAGCCACAAACTCTCCCTCTCGATCAATCTCCAACCACCCAAGGTCCCAAACCCTAAAACTCTTGGATCAAGGAGTTCTAGAACCGGGTTCACAGTCCAAAAGAGAAAACAGGTCAAAAAAATTTTTTTACACAAAGCCCAGGATTGAATCCATAGTCACAATGCAACCCTGACCGAAACAAAATTCGGGCCACAACATCATAATAAAGGCTCATCAATGCACATCATGTAAATGCTCCTATATATATATATATATATATATATTTTGTGCATAACACGTGATTGAATATATTATTAAAATATCTTACCTAAATTTATATTTTTTAATAAAAAATAATTTAGAACAATCAATATTAAAAACCTTCTCAAATGCATTGGTATAATTTAGTGGACAAGCATAACATTTGTCTATTTTGTTAGCAAATTTATGACGTGACATATAACAAAAAAAAAAATTGATTGAATTTGTCTAATGTCTTGTATGATAAATTCTGAGTAAGTTTGACCCAATTTTTGTTGAATTTCTCTGACCTGCGAGATTTCTATGGACTCGGGCGGATCTTAAAAAAATACGGGCTAGAGTGGCTTGGGTTTTAGTATGTAAGCCCGAGGAGGAGGGGTTAGTGAATATAGGGAGAGAGAGGGTGTAAGGCCTTAAAGACGAGCTCAATTCATTTTTTTTTTTATCAATATCATTGTTAGGGGTTAGTGAATATAGGAAGAGAGAGGGTGTAAGGTCTCAAACAGGGACGGGCTCTCAGACACAAGCAACCCAATCGCTCAAATAGCTAATAAAGTTGCAATCCTCAAATAGGAATCAATTTGTCAACTGGGCATCCTATCAATGGAGCCAGGGGTCCGCAAAAGTTTTTGAGTGCCCTCTGCCAAAAATAAATTGAGGCCCTACTTAGCATAATCTCACTCTCACATAAAAATATAAAAATAAAAATAAAATTTATTGTGATTAAATTAATGTAATAAAGTAAGTTTTATAATTAAAATTTATCAAGAGTTTACAAAATTCACTTGAACCACGAGGATAAAAGAAGTATCAAAAAAGTCTAAGGAGTGCAATATTCAACTTTGAAAATTTCTCTTCTTGCATTCATAGATGCAAAATTTTCAATTAAACTTTCAAAATCAAGTGTTTCTAAAAGTTCATTTTCAATTGAAATCAAAGTTAGCCCAATCAATTTTTTTTGTGACCTGGTTGATTGCAAGTAAGATTTTAATAATTTCAATTTTGAAAAACTTCTTTCTGTAGAAGCAACACTAACATGAATAGTCAATAGTATTATATATGCAATCCAAGCATTTGGAAAACAATTCAATAAATCATTCCTACCAACATCAAAAAAATTGTCATTTTTCAAAATTGCTTTCGAGATGAAAGCAACAAGTCTTCGTGTCATCGTCATCCAATGAGTTTAACTTATACGAAGTGGACAAACCCAAAGATATCCTCATATTCTCCTCCACTCAGATTGGGCCCACGTTTATAAAATAAAAATTAAGCTACGAGTGGACTGACTCGATTGGGCTGCATGAGCTGCATTAAAAAAAAAATCTAGATTGGGCTGTATTCTCTTCCACTCATATTGGGCCTAAGTTTATAAATAATAAAAAATTAAGTTATGAGTGTGTATTAAAAAGAAGTTGTATTTACATGGAACCCTTCATCAACTGAGCTGCAATTAATTTTATAAAAGATAAAGTGCAAAAAACTCCCTTAAACTTTACTCTCTCTTTCTAAAAACGCCCCTGAACTTCTATTTTAACAATAAACCCTATAAACTATTTCAATTTTTACAATAAACACCAGGCAACACTGTTCCGGCAGATTTTGTCCGTAAGATGTGCGCATGTGGCCTATGCTGTAATTTGAAAATGGCAATTTTACCCTTATTTAATAAATCCCCAAATTGAACCCTTTTTCAGTTTACAATAAACAATACCTCCCCATAACTTCCTCCCCTAACGCTATCTTTCTCGTGAAGGTCTCAGTCTCTGTAAACACTTTCCAACCATTAAACAATCAGTAACGTCCCTCTTAAAACCGTGATACAGAGAGGAAATAAGTATACAAGTCATATATGTGTGTGTGTATATATATATATAGTTACATAGACCTGACAAACCTAAGACCCATCTCAGACCCAACTCATGGATCCCTTCACAAAATTCAAATACACCTTTGATCTATTGATCTTTTTCTAATTTTTCAAAATTGCCTATTTGCTTCTTTCTTTGATGTGCCTCCAAAATTTCTCTCTTCTGCCAGTCTCCACCGGCCTCGTCGACGCCGGCGCAATATTGCCTCCCCTTACCACCAATCAACAGAGGGCACTTTTCATAGCTGACCGTCACTATCGTAATATATATATATATATATATATATATATATATAGTTGAACAGAGGCCTTTTAAAAAGCTAGACCGCGGATCACCACTCTTTTCTTCTCCAAATTCAAGTTCTCCAATTGGTGTCGCAGCCGGTAATTTGTTTGTGACATGGCCGTTGCTTGTCGAAGAGTTTTACAAGGAGAAGTTAATTACTCAGGTGTTGAAGATTGGAGTCAGAGGTGTGGAATTCCAGATTTAGGATTATTGTGGGGAGAGACAAGATAGAGAGAGTTATAGGTCGATTGATGGACGTTTGGCAAAATCCAGATCTTTACTCCGCCAAATCAGGTTCCAATCAAAATATCCAAAGTCGGCGGCGGTTGTCGCCGGTGATGGTCGTTGGCTGGTTCAATTGACGGAGGTTGTGATTGGTTGGTGATTCATCTATTGCCGGATGAGGATAGCATACAGATGGAGAGAGTAAAGAGAGAGAGAGCGTAAGGAGGTGTTTGGCTGCTAACATGAAATAGTGTTAGGTAGTGTTTGTGATATATATATGGTGATGTGCTGGCAGATTCCTATTGGATTTTGAGATTGGATTTTGATAAAGTAATAAAACAGCGTCGTTTGGTCATAGGGTAAAATGGTAATCTTCTATTTCCGGTTAACTATGGTGACAGTGACTTTTAATTTTGTCCTTAAATGCAACTTTTTAATAGTTTGGGGGCCAATGCTAATTCAGGGGGATTTTGTGCAATTGCCTAATAGAACAGGGAGTTTATTGCACTTTACTTTTTTATAAATAAAATATTTTTACAGTATATATACCATATATATGGGCTCACAAAAAAATTTGGGGGCCCTCCAAAATTAGGGGACCTCTGCGGTGGCACCACCTGCACCATCCAAGGGCTGACCCTAATTGGAACCAAGACTCCCCTAGGTTTGGGGTCTACAGACTCTCACTAACGTTTCCTTATTAAAATATATATCAAGTGAGACATGGTTGATAATACTCCGTAGTCTTTCAAAAGAGAATGTTAGGATTTCAAGTCTCCATAGAATATTGTGGGTGTGTGGATATATTTTTTGTCAATAATTTTTTTTTTTATAAATATATTTACCTTTTTTATCAAACATTTTTGTTAGATTATGTTTACAAAAAAATTATCTTAAATTATATGCTAATCTCCATATGCGCATCTCTGGTGCAATTGCAAGAGGAAACTAAAGTACATTAGCAAGATTGCAAAAATGCCAACAACAAATTGATATCATATAAGCTAATATTTTAGTTGCCAGTTGTTAAGAAATAAATTCTATAGCGTATAAGTTATTAAAATACATTTTAAATATTTTATTTTTGTAAGGCATTTTTTTATCAGGCATTTTTTTAATAATTTTTCGTAAGTATATTTTTTTTATTAATATTTCACTAAGGTAACCTTTTTTTTAGTGGAACCAAAGTACTAAAAAGAAAAATAATTATAAATTTAAATTTAATATTAGAAAATTAAAAAAAATATTGAGAAAAAAATTAATGTTTTAACAATGTTTTTTTTTTTTTTACTCTTTTTTACCACTTCTCTTTTTGAACGCAGGTTATCATTTTCTTATCAATATCAGTGTT